GGACCAAACAAAATAGAAAATCTCAGAGGAAGCCTTTGTCGAAAGAGAAGCTGATAAGAGGAGAGATAAGCCGAGAACATGTTTTAGTTTTTAAGTCAATTTATAGTTTTCTTACCTCTATCGTTATTATTTTGTGTTCAGTTAAATAAGTTAAAATCTTAACAGCAATAAATACTTTTTTTATTTAATAACCTGGCAAACTTCGTAGTGCCTCAATCGATAAATAAAAGACCTAAACTTTTCTATAAAATAAACATAAAACAAACATAACTAATCGGTCCGACGGGGGACACATCAAAGGAAAAACAAAATTGTTATTTTTATTTAATTCCGAGCATTTTCATATTTATTTACCTTTAAAACCTTCTCTGGACTTCCACATATAATTCAAGACCAAAATTAGCCAAATCGGTCCAGCCGTTCTCCAGTTTTAGCGAGACTAACGAACAGCAATTCATTTTTATACTTAGTCTGGCCATAAATACTGTTACAATTAAAAATAAACAAAATATTACATTTGAATTGGGAATCTGTCATTTTTATATGATTGCTCATTGAGTTTTCTCATTTTGGCGCCAATACATTGTACAATATTTTGCGATATTAAAATGGAGTGGGGTGATAAAGAGAACCGAATCGCTGTGATTGCATTACACAAAGGTATGGAGCCAAATGCAATTTTTAAAACTCTCCATACGCTTGGTATTAGTAAAATGTTTGTGTACCGGGCTATTAATAGGTGCAATAAGACCTCCTCTGTTTGTGACAGAAAAAGATCTGGCCGTCCACGTAGTGTTCGTACGAAAAAGGTGGTCAAAGCAGTGAGAGAAAGAATTCAAAGAAATCCTGTCCGAAAGCAAAAGATTTTATCTCGGGAGATGAAGATAGCACCTAGAACCGTGTCGCGTATTTTAAAATATGACTCAGGAATTGCAGCCTATAAGAGAAGTACTGATCATTTCTTAACTGATAATTTAAAAGAGAATAGGGTGGTAAAATCGAAACAACTACTCAAACGGTACGCAAAGGGAGGTCATAGAAAAATTTTGTTTACGGATGAGAATTTTTTTACAATTGAGCAACATTTTAAGAAACAAAATGACCGTATTTATGCTCAAAGCTCTGAGGAAGCTTCCCAATTAGTCGACAGAATGCAACGTGGGCACTGTCCGACTTCAGTGATGGTTTGGTGGAGTATTAGCTATGAAGGAGTGACTGAGCCATACTTTTGTGAAAAAGGTATCAAAACATCGGCACAAGTGTATCAAGATACCATTCTTGAGAAGGTAGTGAAGCCCCTTAACAACACCATGTTCAATAATCAAGAATGGTCCTTCCAGCAAGACTCGGCGCCAGGTCATAAAGCTCGGTCTACGCAGTCTTGGTTGGAAACGAACGTTTCGGACTTCATCAGAGCTGAAGACTGGCCGTCGTCTAGTCCCGATCTTAATCCGCTGGATTATGATTTATGGTCAGTTTTAGAGAGTACGGCTTGCTCTAAACGCCATGATAATTTGTAGTCCCTAAAATAATCCGTACGATTGGCAGTGAAAAATTTTCCCATGGAAAGAGTGCGTGCTTCTATTGATAACTGGCCTCAACGTTTAAAGGACTGTATTGCAGCCAATGGAGACCACTTCGAATAAGCTTTTTATACATTAAATTGTTTTATATTTATGTATTAAACTAACACACTGCAAAAGTAATAAATGTTATTTGCAATAATTTTTTTATTTATTTCCTTTGTAACAGTCTTTATGGCCAGACTAAGTATATATAGATTATCATATTTTTTTACTCACTTCGATCGGAAACAACCCGGCTTTTGTCCTATACAGCGTTACACTAAATTCGATAAGTGATAACTCTTATTAGCTATTTAAAGGCATATTACATCACAAACAGGTCACCGATGGCAAAGAATCGACATAACATTTTTTACTTACACGAATAAATGAACAGTGAGTGATTTGCAAAGAAAATAGAACAGCGCACGGTGATTAACAAAAATTACATTTTATTTAACATGCTATTTAAAATGCTTTTGCTGTTATTTTTTATTTTCATTGCTCTTGTCGTCAGACGAGCATACGGCCCACCTGATGGTGAGTAGTTACCGTCGCCTATGGACATCAGCAGTGCCAGAGCAGAGCCAAGTCGCTGCTTACCGTTAAGTACTCACCACCAGCCTCGTTTGAAGAAGGACCTGTCATAGCGCTCGGGAAACACCGTGGAGGGGAGCTCATTTCAAATCAGGATGGTACGTGGCAAAATTGATCTCTGAAAACGCACTGTGGATGTCTAGTGGCTCCAGGTAGTATGGATGAACTCTACTCCGGTGGCGGGCGGTGCGATGGTAAAAACGAGGTGATGGAATCATTTCAAACAATTCCTCAGAGCACTCCCCATGAAAAATACGGTACAAAATACAGAGGGAACCGAAGTCCCTCCGCAGACCCAGAGGTTCCAAACGATCTCTGAGAATGAGATTATCGACAATCCGAACGGCCCTCTTCTGTACGGAGTCAAATAGAAGTAGTTGGTATTTGATCCATAGCCATAGGTTAGAACTGGCAGTTGTTGTTCAGTTTTAATTGGATATGCATCTTGATTTTTTTGAAGTGAAACTTCTCTAGGCGCGTTGAGAGTAAAATTTAAGTCGCGACAGATTCTTTGCGGCTAGAGAGAAAAGATACAATTTAAGACGAGCGAGAGTGAGAAAATAGACAGAGCATCTTGCGAACCATTCAACCTTGGAGTGAGGGAGAAAGCGAGCTAGATCGTTTCTCTTATACACATTCAGTTTACGGGCGTCGGCCACTAGATGGCTTGTCATTAGTTAGTTATGTATTAATAGTATGTTACTGCCATCCTGTAGATAGCATGCCTCTGGCATTGCTGAAGTCCATGGGCGACGGTAACCACTGGCCATCAGGAGAGCCGTCTGCCTACACAGGCTAAAAAAAATTTTTCACAGCAAAAGAAGTTTCACTTCTTTCACGAACACTAAGTTGCGATCGCTTTGTTTACAATAAAATCAATTTTTTCTTACACTATTTTTAATTCTTTATTAAAACTTATTTTCTATCTTTTAGTTGTATTTTCTATAAAAACGTATTTTGTTAGTTTTTTTAAACTATTATTTATTTGTTCTTCCATGCATCCTCAATTCTAGTGTCTATTTTCTGTAGACATTATATCATTCGCTAAAATTTATTAGTAAAATGCACAATTCAATTTTTGTTTTAATGAACATAAATTGTCAGGATGTGTGACCTCATCGGAATACATTAACTAATTAAATTATATTTTTTATTTTGAATATGTTTTGTTAAGACCTGAGCGAACCGCTAGACCGGAGCGGGGCGCTGCGCTAGTCTTCATATAAGAAGGGAAGAGGTTACAAGCACACAATTTTTCCCTACCTATCTGCTGGTAGCTTAAGGATCTATTCCAGCTACTCTGTGACTGGTAGATAAACTCAAGGGCTCAATCTGAGATAATTCGCTAACACTAGACCTAGTAAGAGCCGTACTTCGCAGAATTTACCACCGGATCGGAATCGCGACTCACTGAGAAAATCCGGCGAGAAACTCAGTGGGCTGTGTCTATGAGTGTTCGTTTTTCGAACTCTTCGTCGTTTAATCGACGAGGACGGTGATCGGTGCTTAAAGAGCCTATAGGCATCGAAATTCGAGAGTGGATCCGGGGGACCCGACAAGACATGCGAAGACGGCGTCTGCTTGAAAAGCCCAAAGGCATCGAGAGTTTATCCGTGGGATCAGGGAGGTCTTAGACTAGGATGGGGCCCTTGGGCACATAAGAATTTGAGGCCCTTTTGGAAAGTAAAAAAAAACTAATTATATTAACATTTTTTTACTGAGTATGACCATTTATGATACGTAATCAAATACAGTATGATATAATGTCATTAATGATATTAGAATGCTGCTGGTTTTTTGGTTACGATTTCGATAACGGTTTCTTTCCGGATATCTGTTGAGCAAAATCTTCTATTATAGGTATAGTATATGCCTTCTAAATACCTTCTGACTACTGATTTATGAAAAAAGTGTAATGTGCCCGACAAAAATGTTTTGAGAATAAACGTGTGAGATAAATTATCGGTCTTTCGGGGGCCCCTGAGAATGGGAGCCCTGGGCACGGGGCCCCGTGTGCCCTTATGGTAAAGACGGTATTGCGTGGGATCCAACAAGACATGCGATGAAGGCGGCTTTGCGTTGCCCCGTTGCCTGGGTCGAATAAAAACTCCCTCCGTGTATGAAAAATTATCCGCCTTATAGCAACCAATTAAGGTGGCGCCACCGAAGCAGCTCACATAGATAATACACTTAAATGGCAATTCAGCTTAACTTTGTTTACGACAGTTGCATTCATATCACACCGATTGCAATGCTAGCGCTGTTTTGGTTTTTGAATTATAATTTGCTAATTACAGCTTTCTCAATCTGGCCCCTAAATCTGAGACAGTTAATTCTTCAAAGCTCTATGTACATCTACACTCTACAGTTGTTTGAGTCTTATAAGGTATGTTTAGACTGATAAATGGACTCGATTCGTACTTCGATTTTCTATTTCTATCTTTAATACACAAACAGAATAGAATCCATAATAGAAATTGGAAGTACCTATCGAAATTGACAGAAACTAGAATTAGTTGGTTAGTAAAACGTTGTCTTATCTTTAAGAATCATTTAACTCTTGAATTATTCAATTGAAGAGTGATTGAGCTGGTTTCTCTAAATTTTTAATCAACTGATACCAATGCTTTAGAACTGAATTAAAATCCAATTTTGAGGAATTTGAAACTAAGATTTCCTTTTTAAGACAGCTCTAAAAAGTATATCAATTTTATTTTTTCTTTCCTTTTGGTTGAAGTATCATTCGCTTTGGCTTCTATTCTTTACTCTGTAGATTAATTCAGAATAAGAATCGATATTTAATCGATTTCATAGACTTACGACTTACATAGTAATCTAGGCATCCTTACGAAGTTGCTGTGTTGTCAAAATTGCTTCACAATATTGTGATACATTGTTAGAATCCATTTAGGTTGAAATTATCAATTTTTCAATATGAGAACGTGTCAAACATGAATTGAAAACGTTTTACAACAATTTGAGGAGACGACCCGCCGTGTATACACGCGTCTCGATTTTACATTTTTCATGAAAATTGAAGCAGTAATTTAGTCAACATGGATGGTACATGGTTCCTTATTCTGCTCGCGCTGGTGATGTTAGTGGGATCTTATGTTGCTGGCAGTATCCCATTAAACGTGAGCATGTCTGAGGTACGTGATTTAAAAATATTATGAACATTATATTAAGAAAAAAGCTAAAAAAAACACAATTCCATCTGGCTTGTTGCAGAACGATTTTGTGCAATAATTTTGTTAAAAGCGAAAGTAATAAATATTTTTTACATAAAAAAAAATATATTCGTCTGTAATTTCGCTGTATCGATCCAGCTGTTCGCTTAATATTACTTGTAATCTTCATTATTGCGTAAGAAACAATCTTCTTCAAAGCCGCGAAACTTATTATTCTAATATATTACTCAGAAATAGTTATTAGTATATCCAATGATTAACATTGAAATATGTGATAAGCAAATCCAAATTATTATGGTGTTAGTTTTAACTTTTAAAAAAAAATGTATAGGATAAACTGAAAAAGGTGACAATATTTGGCGCCGGATTGCTCGTCGGAACAGCCTTAGCTGTAATCATACCAGAAGGAGTACGAGCGTTGTTTGAACATCCTCACACCCCAGCTGTGACTAAGGACTACACTGCTGAACCAACTCATGAAGACAGTCTATATTCTGTTATAGGGATAACGCTAGTTTTAGGTAAGAAAATTCTGATCAGAGAGAAAGGCAGCTAAATCCTCCCCCAGGGCTGTAAACATATCATTTAGAATAGGAGCTATTATTTTCTGATTATTGTTATTTTATTGTTTTTATCATCCTACTTTCACTGATTAAGTTATTGACAACCTTAATTGGACAAGGACTTTAAAGATTGGCTGGTGTTCTAAAAATTAGAATTAGCACCTCATAAGAACCATTGTATCGTTAAATTATAGTGATCTGCCAACTTTTTAAGTTTATTTCTATATTTATTTCATCAAAGCTCTACTTCGTAGAGTAATATTGCATAATGGTCCGAAGGGCAGTTAAGCTACCTTTCCAATTCTCTGACTCAATCTTCAATTGGACTCCCCATGATGCTCCTACCTAACAAATGTTCTTTATAATGGCATATTTAGTAAAGATATTTGGCATTCGATGAATTGCTATACTTAAACATGTATGTTAACGTGTTATGTATAAAAACTTAGATGAAGGTGATTAAATGTGGATAATGTAATTTTTTAGTGTGAAATTAATTCACACAGTCCTGCATTGCTGTTCATAATATTTAACGAAAACAATGTTTAGTTTCCAGTCAACATTTTACACATGAGCAGATAACTTTATGTAATTGATTTACTGGATTCTTACTTTTTAATATTTTAGCACGGGATCTGGAAATTGCCTTAGCTAATGAGATGTGAGGCTTACAATTTGATATTTACATAGGTGCAGATTAGGATGACAATATGAAGGGAATCTATATTTTACTTGTGATACTCACAAGAGTGGGAAAATTAAACAGAATCATTGGACATGGCTTCTTGGGTCCTACCAAAAAGTTCATTGAACCCTCAGTTAATACTCACCGCTTTATTTTTAAGTCTTATTTAGTTTGTTTTCATTGCGTTTTAGTAGCTGATGTTAATGTTGCATTTCATGACGGATCTATTGCTACAATCCTAAATCCAAAGTATTTTGTCCAGCATAAACCTGACTACTTTTCTTGGATCAATATTCTAGACCTCCCCCGATGAGTGAGTACTTTTTACTGGCCACTAACAGATTCTTATTCGCTTCCAGGTTTCGTCTTCATGCTGCTGGTGGATCAGATGTCATCCCGTTACAATGATTCCAATAATCCGATTGAGAGAAACGTTACGGCCACCGTTGGCTTAGTGGTTCATGCAGCCGGTGAGTTGTCCTGTCCCCCAGGCATTGTTTTTCCAGTCCGGGGGCCGAACCTCCTATGAGGGCCCCGCGCCTAGGAGGCTCGCGGGGTATGTTGGGAGCTGACTGCGGGCCCAAGGATGCTTTTAGGACCCTACCGCACTAAACGACCCCCCTGCACTCTTCATCCGACGTCCGATCTCCGTCCAGGGTTAGAATATATAAAATCAGGGCATAGATCTTTTGTGCACATGAGGTCGTAGATACATCTAGATTTTGTTAATGGACAGCAGCGCATATAACTTAAGGCGATATTCCTATAATCCTTCTTGCCTATTTCTGCCTCTTACTTCTGCGCTCCGCAGTCTCCGGCTAACTTTATTTTATTTTATTGCATAGACGGGTGGACGAGTTCACAAACCACCTGGTTTTATGTGGTTACTGGAGCCCATAGACATCTACAACGTAAATGCGCCACCCACCTTGAGATATGAGTTCTAAGGTCTCAATATAGTTACAACGGCTGCCCCACCCTTCAAACCGAAACGCATTACTGCTTCACGGCAGAAATGGGCATGGTGGTGGTATCCCGTGCGGCTCACAAGACGTCCTACCACCAGTAACTAGGGAAACTACCACAAAGACTCGATGACGACTTAAATCATAGTACCATCAACGTACCAGAGATGGCGTGTGTGACTCAAATTATTTTAAAGTTAATCGTTACAGAGTAATATAGCTTTAGAACTGTACATTAATTGTATAATTACAAATATTAATTACGAAATTCGATAAGGCGTTCTAACTTGTGACACGTACGCGAGCTCAGCGTGCGTTATCTGGCGTTGCGCAAAACATTGGATAGCTTTTAAGATTGTAATTTGTAAATATGAATTGGTCGCGACCGCCGATCTGTGTGCTTCAGTGCTTAGTGCCAGTTTTTAACGTTATCGATAGCGTGAAAGTTAATTCAAATTAGTAAGCAGTTGGAACAGCGCCCCTAGCGGCATACGCAGGCAAACGTTCCGACTCCATACAAATCAGAGTTAACTTTTACGCTATCGAGAACGTTAAAAAACTCGCACTAAGCTTACTGATATTTTATATCAAGCCGTAGCGGTGTTCTTCGACTGCTCCAATATCGTGTCCCCCCTCTTTATGATATCCTACCAAAAGACATCATCCGGCTTATTGATATTAATTCTCTGTTAACTTTAGTGTATTCTAAACACTGGTGGTAGGACCTCTTGTAAGTCCGCACGGGTAGGTATCACCAGCCTGCCTATTTCTGCCGTGAAGCAGTAATGCGTTCCGGTTTGAAGGGTAGGGCAGCCGTTGTGCTGTTATACTGTGGAAGAGCAACCCGGTCGGCGGTGTATCGCGTTCCGACCCGGCAGGCTGGTTCTGGCCCAGCGGGGTATCCCGGAACACCAGCGGCACCGCCCGGGCGGCTTGGTAGGGCCGCCGTACCGCGGAGACTGATGTCGTTGGTCGTCGACTATCACCTCGACGACCCGTCGGTCGGGCGTCCTCGGGGTGGCGCCGCGTGTCTGGTTGTAGTGTTGACCGCGGGAACCCCCCTACTCTGAACGGGTTCTGACCCCGGACGGAGATCGGACGTCGGGTGTAAGAGTGCAGGGGAGTCGTTTAGTGGGTGGGCCCTAAAATCCTTGGGCCCGCGATCTGCTCTCAACACCTGCAGATCGTTGAGTCTCACATACCCCGCGCGCCCCCTAGGCGCGGGGACCTAGTAGGAGGTTCGGCCCCGGCCCGAGAAAAAAAAAAAAAAAAAAAAAACCGTTGTGCTGTAAAAACTGAGACTTAGAACTCATGTCTCAAGGTGGGTGGCGGCATTTACGTAGCCAATGTCTATGGGCGCCGGTGACCATTTAAGACCAGGGTGGGCAGTTAGCTCGTTCATCCATTTTCGTAAAAAAACTTATATCAGGCTTTGCATAGGCAAAAACGTGTTGATGGCATAAATAGGCAGACCATCACTAAGATTTTGCTGGTTACCTTTAGACGTGAGGTACATGTTTACTTGTCTATAGTGGAAATGTGATTTAAATTTATTATATACTAGCCGTACTACTCGCCCGCTTCGCTGGGCATTTAAAATTAACCTTATTATTTATTGTCATTATTATTAGGGAGTCCAACACTCATATCAATATTAGGCTATCCATTAAGTACATGTATTTTCTACATGGATACCAAGTTTCAAGTCAATCGGATGCAGCGTTCAGTAGTTATAACGGAACATCCGTAAAAACCACTAGATTTTTATTTATATATTAGTATAGATATATCGATATCGACTGTTTGATGTCCCATCACTAGAAGATTGCGGTCTCGATATGTCTAGAACCTTGGATCGCGTATTCACATGGCAATTTAAACGCTCCACTATCAGTTCGATCTTGTTCAGATTCTTATCGGTTCTTGGTACCGCGCCTGATACGTTGCGATAGTAGTGATATATTTTTTCCTACCTAAGCTGATAACATCAAGGGGCTATGCCAGCGTCACCGAGCGAATAGGTGAGCTCACGGGGCTCTAACCTGACGAAGTTGCTAACACTAGCCCTAGCAAGAGCAGTGCTTCGCTGCATCTACCACCGGATCGGAAACCCACTCAGAAGATCCGGCGAGAAACTCAGTGGGTTGTGTCTAAGAGAGTAGTGATTGCGAAAGGCCTATCTATTTTGGAGGCGCGCCCTTCAATATCCGTGATTGCCGGGCGAATATTAATAATTACAAATATAGGGTAGTTTCACTTTGAATAATGTCAGGACACTGTCCATTGAGTGCTCGCCGAAAATGTCTACGTTGTAAGAATAATGTTGTGTCATAAAAATCGAACCCGCTAATGTTCCACCGCCATTACTTATGGGTATTTTTTGGTGGTATTATGAGTTTGCCGTGAAGCAGTAATGCGTTTCGATTTAAAGGGTTGGGTAGCCGATGTATCGCAAAAACTGCGGCATTAACTGTTTCTATGGGCTTCAATAGGTACTTAAAATAAATAAGTAGCAAGGTATCACTGGTAAAGAGACTGAAGTGGGGTGACGAGATAAGATCGTATGGCCGTCTTGATTTTTAATACGCTTTTATTAACTTCAGACGTATGTGTGTTTGTAACGGAATCTTTGAACATGATTTTGAACCCTTCAAAACGTCGGATTAACTCTAAATTTGGTATACTTATTAAGGACCGATGACAATTAAATATTTAAAAAAATAATTGAAAAAATTTAAATTCAACTAAAAAATGTAAAATAAATAATAGTTTAAAAAAACTAACAAAATACGCTTTTATAGAAAATCCATGCATGGGGTGCATGGTATCAGTAGTTATAAATATTTTATGAACAGACATGAGTAGAAGGGTTATTTTGATAACATCCTGAAAAGCACCTCACGCTTTTATTACAAAAAATAATTTTCTCTTACACTATTTTTAATTCAAATTTTTTAAAATTACTTTTTATTTTTTTTGTTGAATTTTATATAAAATCGTATTATGTTAGTTTTTTTTTAATTTTTTTTTTCTCTGCTGCAGCGGACGGCATCGCTTTAGGGGCGGCCGCCACGACCTCACACGCGGACGTCGAGGTCATAGTCTTCCTGGCCATAATGCTCCACAAAGCCCCTGCGGCATTCGGGCTTGTCACGTTTCTGATGCACGCAGGCCTCGAGAGGTTTGTACTGGCCATACGCGTCTAACGCACGCGGCGACATCTGTGTATCTCTTTCGCACTCGTATGTCGTGACGTCATAAGCCGCGGCGTCCCTTCGTTTTATTTACAGCTACCCTCACCTCCAGTTTATATTTATTTTCGACTTCCTTTTTATGTCTTAAGTGATTTGTGTTGATTGCTGTGTGGTGGACAGTCAGGAATAACATCACCGCAATCCTTCTCCTGGGTGTCGTGAGGCAGCTAAGAGATTTACCGGAGAATTGACAACAACCTTCTCTGGCTAGTGGTAGGGTGTATCGTAAAACACATTAGACTAGGTACCACTTACCACCCTGTACCCCTGCAAAGCAGTCATGAAAATAATTTCCTTTTTTTTTTGTTGCTTAGATGGGTGGACGAGCTCACAGCCCACCTGGTGTTAAGTGGTTACTGGAGCCCATAGACATCCACAACGTAAATGCGCCACCCACCTCGAGATATAAGTTCTAAGGTCTCAGTATAGTTACAACGGCTACCCCACCCTTCGAACCGAAACGCATTACTGCTTGACGGCGGAAATAGGCAGGGGTGTGGTACCTACCCGTGCGGGCTCCCAAGAGGTCCTACCACTAGTTAAATATCCCACCTATATTTTCTTTTTATTGCCTATCACGGCCCAGCTGAAGGTGAATGGGTACCGTGGCCCGTGGATTGGTTTCAGCAATGGCCCACCGAGCCAAGCTATAATAAATGTTTCATTAACAGGAACAGGATAAGGAGGCATCTCCTCATATTCTCGTGCGCGGCTCCCCTACTTGCTCTCCTCACGTACTTCGGTATCGGTAACGAGAGCAAACAGACCCTGAGCGAGGTCAACGCTACAGGTGAGTGGAGAAGGACGCTTCAGAGCGTAGTCCATGTGATCAAAGACAGGGGGCGGTAGTGGGTAACCGGCAATCAACTGACGTGGGTCAGTAGTGGGAGGAGACAGAATCGCTGGACGTGGATCCTCAGGGTTCTACCAAAAATTTCTTTCTACCCTCAGTAAATAACCACAATTTTACTCGGACGATTTGTTTAATTGGATATAATTTTATATAAATCAACACACAAGGAGTCTATTAGTAAATGAATTCTACAAAAGGCTTTAAAAATGATCGTGGTGTACGGTTATTGACCCCAAATCAGTGCGTTATACATTGCGAGAAATGAACTGGCCAAAAAGAGTGGTGCTTAGGTTATAAATTATTGTTGTTGTTGCGTAACGCAAATTCTCTTTACTGTTTTATTATATAATATATATTTTTTAATCCGCAATGAATTTTAACCTTGGGGTCAACAACCGCGCTCGGCCCGCTCGCTCGGAGTCATTGACCCGGCGCGTTCTTCCTCTGTGCTAAGGTTGCATTTCCTTCTGCAGGTATAGCGATGCTGTTCTCGGCAGGTACGTTCCTGTACGTAGCTACCGTCCACGTCTTACCCGAACTAACCCACACTCAACACACGCACACGTTACTGCCCACCCAGGAGGGTATGCCGACAAAAAGGGGCTTCGGTGGCCTTCAGATATTCGAAGTTATCATTCTCTCTGTGGGGGCGCTGCTGCCAGTCTTACTGGCCATGGGTCATGACGATTAGCCTCCGACGTGGTGGATATCTTGGGAGGAACTGGACGATTGAGCTCAACATAATCAGAACCATAAAGTCGTTTGTGCGAAATAAAATATGTGCTAAAATCGCCTCTAAGCACACGAGTCCTTGTTTTAAATTTAAGGAGTATAATTTTAGGGATAATCTAAACTAGCGCTCGCCCGATGATCGAATTTCGACTTTAAGCACTAAAGATTTAAGATTCATTTTAAACGTAATATTTTGGTATTTCAAACGCTTGTCTCTGTCAAACAAAAAAAAATGCTACTTAATGTTTTTGTAACTAGTATGTATATTTTTTTGTAACAATTCACTGGTAGCATAAAGGGTTACTTCAGCTACGCGCGGGTAGGTGAGCTAACGGGTTCAACTTGAGAGAGTTTGCTAACACTAGCCCTAGCAAGAGCCGTGCTTCGCTGAATCTACCAGCGGATCGGAAACGCGACCCACTGAGAAGATCCGGCGAGGAAGTCAGTGGGTTTGCTTATAGTATACTATTTGTCTCCTATATACTCCAAAACATCTGGATTCCGATGAAAATATCTCAGGAAATCTTGTATTAGTCCGTCGGCAATGTCAACCGTAATTTGACTAATACTAATAATCTGAATAGAAACAATGCGCATTTCTGTGCGTTAAATTTTTTTAGTTGGAATCACGGATATCCATCTATGGCTCTGATGTCGCGGTTAGCAGCGAACTTGGCAATAAAATGATTTTTGTTAAAAATTATGAAGGCAGGAAAATTGACGTGAAAAATATTGTTTTTTTTTTAGATATGTTTTCAATCGACTGTATTTCATATGTGTATAAAAAATTACGGACGAATTATAGTTTTGATTTAATCAAGATTGTTACTGTTAAATTTGACAAAGCAATCGGTGGGATTACGTACAAATTTTGCCCCATTAAATTGTGGATTGTATGCGAACATTATCGATTTTTCGAGACTTTTTACATACGAACCTTATTTTACAAAAAGTATTTACAATCAAACTATATATAATTATGTATTTCTTATCTATGTATTTGTAATTTTTTTTATTGCTTAGATGGGTGGACGAGCTCACAGCCCACCTGGTGTTAAGTGGTTACTGGAGCCCATAGACATCTACAACGTAAATGCCGCCACCCACCTTGAGATATGAGTTCTAAGGTCTCAGTATAGTTACAACGGCTGCCCCGCCCTTCAAACCGAAACGCATTACTGCTTCACGGCAGAAATAGACAGGGTGGTGGTACCTGCCCGTGCAGACTCACATGACGTCCTACCACCAGTAAAAAACTGGCGTTATCACGTAAGACTATCGTGCGTAAATCGACTTTACAGACAACCAATTGTATTTTTTTTTGTATTAAACACCCTTTTTAAGCATTTGCTGGACTTTTCAAGAAACAATTGGTTAATTTTTGTAATTTTAAAAGGTTCCTAAAAGTCTTGTATATGTGATTCGAATTTGCGATAAATAAATATAGGAACACGGCAGTGGTGAATATTGGACGTATGGCTTTGAAATATTTTCTCTGACATCACCCTAATATCCAAGAGATGTGTGAACGAAACCTTGCTTATTGCTTAGTGAGAGTTTTTTAACGTTCTCGATAGCGTAAAAGTTAACTCAAATTTGTATGGTGTTGGAAAGTTTGCCTACTTTTTCCGCTAGGGGCGCTCTACTACTTTCCAACTACATACAAATGTGAGTTAACTTTTACGCTATCGAGAACGTTAAAAAACTCGCACTACTCACACTGATCCCTCATAACCGGTCAATGTGCTTTGTCGGTAAATTAAAGTCGATCAATCAATTGGCGTCACTCAGTGCCAACGAAAGTTCTGGACAAAATAAGTGAAAGAAAAAGAAAGGTTTTTTTTATCATTTTATATTTTGTAATGCTTTTTTTGTATATTATGAATTTTATTGTAAATAAAGGATATATTAAAGTGATGTTTGGTTTTATTTCCTTCTCTGGATTAATTTTGACGAAGGTTTGTATTTATTTTTGGGTGGGAGCATAGCTTCCGTAAGGGATTCCCAGGACGAGGCAAGCGTGGTATATGGGGACTTTACACAAAAATTCCGTTGCATGTGACGTCATTTGTGGCTAAAACAAACGCTTAGCTAACCGTAGATCGTACAGTGATACAGATTAATCTATGGATACACGCATTTAGTTTTTTAAACCTGGCGTGATCAGAAGCTAATTATATTTTATTTGGTGTTTCAAATTGTCAATCGTGAAATTACGTACTCAAAGTTTCAATGACTGAAAGTCTAATTCTGTGGTCGTTATTATTAAATATAAATATATATATATATATTGCTTAGATGAGTGTACGAGCTCACAGCCCACCAGATGTTAAGTAGTTAATGGAGCCTATAGACATCTACAACGCAAATGCGCCAGCCACCTTGAGATACGAGTTCTAAGGTCTACGTTTTTACAGTACAACGGCTGGCCTTCAAACCGAAACGCATTACTGCTTCACGGCAGAAATAGGCAGGGTGGTGGTACCTACCCGCGCGGACTCACAAGAGGTCCTACCACCAGTAATTACGCAAATTATCATTTTGCGGGTTTTGATTTTTATTACGCGATGTTTTTCCTTCACCGTGGAAGTCAATCGTGAACATTTGACGAGTACGTATTTTATTAGAAAAACTGGTACCCGCCTGAGATTCGAACACCGGTGCATCGTTCAACACGAATGCACCGGACGTCTTATCGTTTATTTTGAAGTAGATTTAAAAAAAAACAATAGATTTAATTTTGAAACATTTATTTCGATTTTTTCATACAAAGATTATAAAAAAGAATCGCTTAAGTTACATTTAATTAGTCTAATTTTGGACTCTTGGTAACTAAGTGAAGTTGCGCAGAACGAGGATAGGATAGCTCCTGGTAAAAAGCTTAAAGTGGACGTGGACACAGAAGCGACGCATTGTCCACCACCACCACCCCGCCTATTTCTGCCGTGAAGCAGTAATGCGTTTCGGTTTGAAGGGTGGGGCAGCCGTTGTAACTATACTGAGACCTTAGAACTTATATCTCAAGGTGGGTGGCGCATTTACGTTGTAGATATCTATGGGCTCCAGTCACCACTTAATACCAGGTAGGGTGAGCTCGTCCACCCATCTAAATAATAATAAAAAGGACCGGTGCTTAACATAAGGTGGGTCCTGGATATGTCCACCCGTGTGATCTATACTAATATTATAAAGAGGAAAGATTTGTTTGTTTGTTTGTTTCGAATAGGCTCCGAAACTACTGGACCGATTTGAAAAATTCTTTTTCCATTAGAAGCCGACATTATCCCTGATGAACATAGGCTACTTTTTTTTATTTAATTTTTTTGGTTTCATGTGTGTTTTAATGTTTCCGAAGCGAAGCGAGGGTGGGTCGCTAGTCAATAAATAAAATTAAAGATTTCGGGAATCTTTCTATTCCGACCAATAGTAATCGAATACTTTGAAATACTTTTTAAACACTAAAATAAACAAAAAACAATAAAAGCGACACCTTAGAACTCTTGTCTCAAGGTGGGTGGCGGCATTAACGTTGTAGATGTCTATGGGCTCCAGTAACTACTTAACACGAGTTGGGCCGTGAGCTCGTCCATCCGTATAAGCAATAAAAAAAACACATATGTGTAATTAGCTTCACCCGTAAACTTTGCATCGTGTGGGCGGAAGACTTGTGTCCAGCCGTGAGACGGAAGGCCTATACTTTCCCAGAGTTCTGGGTGTTTAGTGCGAGTTTTCTAACTTCTCAATCGTTCGATTGCCGCTAGGGGCGCTGTTCCAACTCCATACAAATTTGAGTTAACTTTTACGCGATCGAGAACGTTAAGAAACTCGCACTAAACACACTGGATGTTTCAAGATTACGACGCGAACATGGATTATTGTTTACGAGTTTTTGCCACTGAATTTTTAAAAGGGTGGAGTAATTTTGATGGGTTTTATGTTGGTTTTTAAGTGGTCTCTGGGTGGATTTAGGATTGGACCCGGTATTCCAGGATTCTTCTTTTTATTTTCGGGATATAAAGGCAACAACTTCAGAACGCGCTAATAATCAGTACAGGTTTAATCTAAGTCCACATTCGACAAGTCTTCCGTGATCTTCTTGATTTCTTCTTTTGTCCTGCTGCCTGCTAACTTTTTGGCTTCATCTCTCTTCTGCCCATATAAGACCATTAAAGTATCTAATACCTAGAAATGTTAAATGACCTGTAAGCTTAAATGGCAGCAATTACAGTAAAAGCTCTGTATTCGTGAAGTACATGTACGTTCCGTGTATATTCCCCAAATACAGAAACCAAGGAATATGGAAAAGCTCATCTACAAAGAATATTCGATTGAATGTGTATGTACCGATGTATCGATAAGATAGGCGAATAAAGGTTGGCCGCGAATATAGGGATTGGGTCGCATTTTTTTTATTTGCGATTAGTGAAAACTCGAATGAAGGAAGCGCGAATAAGGACCTTTTACTGTATTCAACAACTGAATGACTTGATAAAGCTTGGAGAGTTTGCGAGATGAGGTGGTAGTGGACTGGACATAGAACTGACGGTCGCTGGAGCAGACGGGTTTTTGAGAGAAAGAACGGAATATTTGACTCAGTATCCTAGATTTGGAAGAGGCTGTGTCCAGTAGCGGACGTCCATGGGCTGTAACGATGAAACAATAAGATTTAAAGGCTGGTTCTTGAGTTCTCCACGGTACCTGTTAAAGGAAATCTTGGTGGTAGGACCTCTTGTGAGTCCGCGCGGGTAGGTACCACCACCCTGCCTATTTCTGCCGTGAAGCAGTAATGCCTTTCGGTTTGAAGGGCGGGGCAGCCGTTGTAACTATACTTGAGACCTTAGAACTTATATCTCAAGGTGGGTGGGTGGGCCGCACTTACGTCGTAGATATCTATGGGCTCCAGTAACCACTTAACACCAGGTGGGCTGTGAGCTCGTCCACCCATCTAAGCTATAAAAAAAACTCATATGAAAGACTTACGTTCTGCGGCATATTTCCTGGGTTAGGTTGCTTTATCTCGTACTCTCCTTTATCATTTTTGACCAGTTCCACCATAGAGTCCTCCAGGTTCGGCACTTCTCCGGGCTTAGGAGCCGGCGTCCTCACGGGCATTTGCTTTTGGGGATGCTTCATTTTCTGCGCCCAACCTTGGAGGTATTTACTTGCGTCCGATTGTAGATACTAAAATTTTAGTGACGGTTTTTTTTTCAGAGCTTTTCGTTGTGCTTTTATCAGATGGAATATCGTGATCGGATATGGATCTGAAAATTGGGTAAACGATTTGGCAGCGCCCCCGCTTAATCCAGATCTTGTGACCGCTACTGGCATCTTCGTCATGACCCATTTTACATTAGCAAACGGTCCATTGGGCATGCAAGTTGAGCTTTTCTCTTCTCGGTTTCCGTCTTTTTGTCTCCCGATTCGCGGTAAACAAATCCGTCCTATATTAATTTAGTTAAAGCTAAAACTTACTGACCTAGTTTGTTGATAATACAGTAATTAGAAGCTTCGTTAGTTAGAAGTCTCGTGTTTACCATCGCACCGCCCGCCACCGAAGTAGAGTTCATCCATACTACCTGGAGCCACTGCGTTTATCCACAGTGCGTCTCCAGAGATACTTATTGCCACGTACCATCTAGCTTTGGAATGAGCTCCCCTCCACGATGTTTCCAGAGCGCTATGACATGTCCTTCTTCAAACGAGGGTTGTGGAAAGTATTAAGCGTTAGGCAGCGACTTGGCTCTGCCCCTGGCATTGCTGACGTCCATGGGCGACGGTAACCACTTACCATCAAGTGTGCTGTATGCTCGTCTGCCTATCCAATAAAAAAAGTGATCTTTGAATTTTAAGATTTCACTACAATCATGCATGGTTACGGACAAACCAAGTTAACAGCTACTGGTGGTAGGGCGTTTTGTGAGTCCTATCTGGTAGATACCACCATCCTGCCCATCTTAGGTCTAATACCACGTCAGGTCAATTGCTTACCTTTTCTTTGTTTTTGTTTATTTTGCCATTAGGCGAGGCTGGCGCATGCCTCTTGGCATTGTTAGATGATGAGAAGGGTTGGCCAGCTGGAATGTATCACACAAGTTAAGACATCTGTGGCGTCCGCGGCCTGATAAGACGACGTACTTGTGTAGAGTAACGCGACTGTGCCGAATCTAGAATCCCGCAGGTAAACTTCTAATGAAATCTATATATTAATAAGTGAAGCAAAAACTTTGTACCCCTTTTTATGAAAAGTCCGCAGACGGAGGAGTATGACATTTCCCACACTTATAGAGAATAAAGAGAAGGAGTACAGAATGTCAATATTTTTTTAAATTATGCATAAAAAATTAAAAAATACTTTAAATCAATAAATAAAAACATTACACGCACTACCATGTATTTGACACACACACGCACGTATACTATTTGTTTATTTTCAAACTTTTCTTATTGCTTATAGTCTGTGGTCAAATTGAGATTAAATTAAATATTATTTGTCTTTATTAATATTTGTCTAAAGTGTACATAATCTTAGCGAAATCAATGATTTAGAAGTATATTTATATTTATTGTCTTTGACAATAGAATCATAATATTGTACAAGCATATAATTTCAAATAATTATTGTCGAATTTCAACTACCAGGGGACCACTAGTAATCTTAACTACCCTATCACTTAATAGGTATTCACGAATTATTTCTTAGACATGAAATTTCGCGCTTTAAGCTGGAAAGCGTGGGTACTTTGCGGCCGTTATACGGAGATGCCTACCCGCAAGGACTCACATTACGTTCTCTTACTAGTAGTGAAGTAAGTTGTAAGTTTGGCGGGATTTGAACAATGACATAGTCGCATCAATATTTTGAAGTCGTCGTGGTCTAAAGGATAAGACGTCCGGTGCATTCGTATGTAGCGATGCAACGGTGTTCGAATCCCGCAGGCGGGTACCAATTTTTCTTATGAAATACATACTTGACAAATGTTCACGAATGACTTCCACGGTGAAGGAATAACACCGTGTAATAAAAATCAAACCCGCAAAATTATAATTTGCGTTATTACTGGTGGTAGGACCTCTTGTGAGTCCGCACGGGTAGGTACCACCACCCCGCCTATTTCTGCCGTGAAGCAGTAATGCGTTTCGGTTTAAAAGGTGGAGCAGCCGTTGTAACAATCAAACCTTAGAACTTATATCTCAAGGTGGGTGGCGCATTTACGTTGTAGATGTCTATGAGGTCCAGTAACCAATTAACACCAGGTTGGCTGTGAGCTCGTCCACTTATCAAAGCAATAAAACAATATATGTACCGGGCGTCTTATCTTTTAGGCCACGACGACTTTAGAGCTTAGGGAATGCTAGCGGGGAGTCGTATTGACCTAACTGGCTTTGTGGTCTCAAATGTATACTCACTCAGGTTCATAGTGTTCGTTTGCGGCCCAAGTTCGAACATTACTTGGAAATCGGCATGGTTGCCGAAGGCAAAGCCAAAACCTACTCTCGAGTCAGTGCCTGTAAAGAAAAATGAAGTATTCGAATTGATAGTATCTAAGTGGGCTGGACGAAAGCGAGTTCGTCTATCTAGAGAAGTAAACTAAAATAATTATTAAAATTAATTTTAAAGTTTAAATTCGCGTTTTTTATTTGCCACTAGCGACCCGCCCTCGCTTCGCTTCGGAAACATTAAAACACACATGAAACCAAAAAAATAAAATAAAAAAAAATTAAAAAAAAGTAGCCTAACCTCTCAGGGACAATGTCGGCTTCTAATGGAAAAGAATTTTTCAAATCGGTCCAGTAGTTTCGGAGCCTATTCGAAACAAACAAACAAACAAATCTTTCCTCTTTATAATATTAGTATAGACTATTATTAGATTTCGTAAAATTCGTAAAATTTAAACGGTAAAAGTACTTTTAATTGTAATAACGATAAACGAAAATAATTTTTTTGGAAATAGATTTTATGGTCTGGTAACTAGACCTTTAAGTCATGTCTTATTTTAATTTATATTCCTATTTTTATGAAAAATGATAATATGGAGTGAAATGAAATGAAATTAAATTAAATGAGATGAGATGATATGGGATGAAATATAATCTTAGTCAAATGGTGGTCATTTACTGAGATTTTTTCAGTGGACTTTTTGGAGGATCCCGAGAAGTTACGTCCAGCGGCTTTGATTCATTTTCCCACATTTGTGCACTTTCACAGAATTTAAACAGTTAATAAACCACCGTTATTACACATTTACACCTGAAGCAACACTAAACAGACAAAATAAAACAAATCAGACAACTTCACTCCTCGCGTTCCTGCCAAAAAGTCGACAGTGTCCTGAGATTATTCATAGTGAAACTACCCTATATTTGTAATTATTAATATTCGCCCGGCAATCACGGATATTGAAGGGCGCGCCTCCAAAATAGATAGGCCTTTCGCAATCACTATTCTCTTAGAGACTAAACAGTTAATAAACCACCGTTATTACACATTACTTCATTAAACCTGAAGAAACACTAAATAGACAAATTAAAACAAATCACACAACTTCACTCCTCGCGTTCCCGCCAAAAAGCCCCGAAAATAAAAGGAAATGCGCTATAGATAATTCAATGTATTAAAAAGAATTAAATGTGTAAGGTCCGGAAGGTGTATGTTAAACTCTACCTACCTTTCTTGATTGGTGGTATATTCGAATAGGCCACAGATAGTAGCGATGGCAGTTCTTCGGGTATGATCAGCGCGCATGACCCTAAAAAGAAAACAAGGTCAAATGAGAAAGCTTTCGGGAGATTAGCAGAAAAGACCCTTCCACTGAGTGGCTGTAATTGCTAGGTAAAACGACGGCCCAAAAGTTCGAAAGTCGTATCTTGGAACTTTAGGCATCTGTCAAATATCCACTCCTGACTAGGCGCGTCAACACCTCCGCCTCCGCCATCCGCCCAATCACGATGTACGACCAACCCATACCGTGGGCCCCGAAGGTCAAATAATTAGGCGTCACCCTCGACAGAGGATGACATTCCGCCCCCACATAATGACGGTACGCGACCGTGCCGCCTTCATACTAGGACGCCTCTACCCGATGATATGCAGGCGAAGTAAAATGTCCCTTAGTAATGAGGTGACTCTACAAAACTTGCATACGCCCCGTCACGACCTATGCAAATGTAGTGTTCGCTCACGCGACCCGCACTAACTTAAAATCATTCCAAGTCATTCAATCCCATTTTTGCAAGATAGCCGTCGGAGCTCCGTGTTACGTCAGGAACGTCGACCTCCATGACGATCTGGACTTAGAGTCCATCAGTAAGTATCTGCAGTCGGCGTCGATGCGCCACTTCGATAAAGCGGCACGACACGAGAACCCACCCTCTCATCATGGCCGCCGGTAACTACATTCCCGGTCCTGCGGACAGAATGGAAAGCAGTCGACGTCGCCCCAAACACGTCATTTCGGATCCTCCCGATCCACTAACGATGCTTTTAAGTACCTCAAGCACCGATCTTCGTTCTCGTCGAACCCGTCGCTGGCGACGAAGGGCTCGACGCATAAATTAACCCATAGACACAGCCCACTAAGTTTCTCGCCGGATCTTCTCAGTGGGTCGCGTTTCCGATCCGGTGGTAGATTCTGCGAAGCACGGCTCTTGCTAGAGTTCGCGTTAACAACGTCGTCAGGTTTGAGCCCCGTGAGCTCACCTACTAGTTAAGGTTCCGCTGATATAGCCTCTCAAGGCTATCAGCTTAGGTAGGAAAAAAATAATGAAATATCCATCATAGTTGGTTATTGTGTATGTTACATAAGTTTTTTTTCTCCAACCTATTAGCTGGCAGCGTAAGGGACTACTCGTATTTCAGCTACGCGCCGATGGGTATGCGAGCTCACGGGCTCAACTTGAGAGACTTTGCTAACACTAGTAAGAGCGATGCTTCGCAAAATCTACCGCCGGATCGGAATCACGACCCACTGAGAAGATCCGGCGAGAAACTCAGTGGGCTGTACCTACGAGCACACAAGTACTTTACTATCAAACTCTGCTAGAAGTATTAAAGGGGGCTTAGTCTTTAAACAATTCTTAGCTCTCAAACCTAGGTGACTTTTACTACCCCTATTTTCACAAGGAGTCCTTCTAAAAGATGGTGACTGGCTATCGTCAATCATGGACGTTAGCAATCCTAGGGGCACAGCCAAGACGCTGCCTACCATAGAACACTTTCCGCAAGCCTCGTTTGAAGAAGGACATGTCATAACGCTCGCGAAACACCGTGGAGGGGAACTCATTCCAAAACCTCGTTTTAGAAGTCGTTCTGAGTGCTCATCTATGCTAATAAAGGAGAGTCGATTGCGGACACGTTTCTCAACTTTAAAGGCGGGTTTCGTTAACTCGGTCAAGGATATTGACATGTTATTTAACGTCTCGTCACGCTATTGTCGTAAGAATTCCGCCTGTGACGCGGTTTTGTTTTTTGTCGGCTTAACACGTTGGAGTAACAAGTAAAGTTGAAGATTGGCACTTTTAGTGGCTAAGCTTTTTATTGTTTAGACCGGCGAATGGTGTCACGGTCCGTCTAATGTTGAGTGGGTGTCGGGCGACATAGATGGCGACACATCTCAGTTGCATTACTAGTTACGTAAATTATGTTTCGCGGCTTTAACTTATACCGCGCGATGTTACTCCTTCATCGTGAATGTAATTCGTGAACATATTCTCAATGGTGGGAATAATGTGTTTTGTGAGCCTCTTAGTTGCAAAGTTTCATATAATTTGGACTAACGGTTCTCGAGTTTTATGTGAAAATAGACAAAAACGTACATTCTCTCTTTTCCTTATCTCCTACCTAAGCTGATAGCCTTGAGTGGCTGGCTATGTCAGTGTTACCTAACAAGTAAGTGAGCTCACGCTCAGGCTCAAACTTGACGACGTTGCTAACACTGGCCCTAGCAAGAGCCGTGCTTCGCAGAATCTACCACCGGATCGGAAACGCGACCCACTGAGAAGATCCGGCGAGAAACTCAGTGGGGTGTGTCTGTGGGTTCATTTACTCGCCGAGCCTTTCGTCGCAAGCGACGGATTCGACCTAGGGCATTATGCCAGCGTAACCGAGCGAGTAAGTGAGCTCACGGGGCTCTAACCTGAGGAACGGTAGATGACAGAAGTAGACTCGTAAAACATCGATATGGAATTCGATTTTAGGACATCGTAGTATCCGTATCCCTTTTCAGGACTACCAGTACGTGATCAGTCTATTTAAGGGGGGTCAATGTTGATTTTGAGCGCAATCGTGTGCAATCATTACTCTAATCCATAGACGCAACGCATTGAGTTTCTCGCCGGATCTCCTCAGCGGGTCGCGATTCCGATCCGGCGGTAGATTCAGCGAAGCGCTGCTCTTGTTAAGGCCAGTGTTAGCAAATACGCCAGGTTAGAGCCCCCTGAGCTCACCTACTCGTTCAGTGAATCTAGTATAACCCCTCACTGTGCTTAGTGCGAGTTTTTTAACGTTCTCGATAGCGTAAAAGTTAACTCAGATTTGTATGGAATTTGAACGTTTGCGTACGTTTGCCGCTAGGGGCGCTGTTCCAGTTGCATACAAATTTGAGTTAACTTTTACGCTATCGAGAGCGTTAAAAACTCGCACTAAGCACACAGGTTACTAGAATAGGTAAGGGGGAAAAAAGTGTCCTAATTTGAAAGGTCAAAACTAGGACGGCTTATTCTAAAGCAATGTTTCCAGTCTTACACGTGTTTCTATCAAACAGTCTTAAATAACTTTATTTAACTATTTAGCTATTTTTAACTTAAATTTTTTCATTAAGTAAACAATCACATTTAAATTTAAAATAAACATTAAAACTTATTGTATTTCAATATGACGGTTAACATTTCGAGATTTGAGTGAATTTGAATTTAATTTTCTAGAATCTACTGAAGCATGTATTTTTTTGGACCTTTTTTGAACTTTATTGTTTTACGTACGGCATTCGGAGTACCGCCAAAAAAGCGAAAACAGAATACTCATTAAGCAAATTACGTAATTAATTATCTTACGCCACTCACCAAAAGAAAGCAAAAATCCAAATGAGAATAATATTAACACCATTTTGAACACCAGAATTTAATGATAGTTTATCTACAGAACATTTTACGTTTGTAAGATCAATTTGAATAATATTTGAAATCAAAATAAATATCAAACTGTCAATGTTGCTGTTTGCCGCCAAACTGACCGAAGCCCGCAAATGAAGTACGAATGCTACTTTCACTATTACGAAAAGACAGTAACTCGTTTTTCTCGTTACGTAAATTACAACTTATCGGCGTTCGTCATTAATATTAAATTCTCGTGAAATGAGTCACGGCGCTTGTGACCTTTGAACTAATCGTTCGGTACCCATGCGTTCGGAATTCGAAAAGTTTTTGAAGTGTTCAAGGACGTTCATAGGAGTTTATGTCTTAATTCTTTACCGTTAAGTTCTCTACTAGTGTACAAATAAATCGTGTATGTTTGTATGGGTTTCCATTCACTTAAAACCTACTTGAATTTCTTCACATAACTGCTAAATTAACATTAAGCTGATTAGCAATCTGAGAGGAGAGCGCAAGTTTTAAATTTGCATGGCAAGTTTTGATATTATTGCATTCCGCAATGATTTACTATTGATACCGAGTGGGAACTTTCATATCGCGTGAAACTAAACTCTGTTGCCAGTGTTGACTCTTATATCTCTGTGTAGTCTGTGGATCGTTCCGGCTAAGACGTTTCAAAAAGAAAGTTAAAAATTTCACGCACAGCAGACAATTTTTTTTCCCTACCATAAGCTGATAGCCTTGAGAGGCTATTTCAGCTTCGCCTTGACGTGTAGGCGAGCTCACGTGGCGCAAACCGGAGTGTTGCTAACACTGGCCCTAGCAAGAGCCGTGCTTCGCAGAATCTACCACCGGATCGGAAACGCGACCCACTGAGAAGATCCGGCGAGAAACTCGGTGGGCTGTGTCTGTGGGTTAATTTACTCGCCGAGCCCTTCGTCGCTAGCGACGGGTTCGGCGAGCACGATGACCGGTGCTTGAGGCACCTAAAAGCACTATTAGTGGATCTGGAGGATCCGTAATGACGAGTTTAGGGCGACGTCGACTGTTTACCATTCGATCCACAGGATCAGGTATGTTATTTCTGGTGACCACAACAGGGTTTTCGTGTCGTGCCGCTTTCTCAAAGTGGCGCAATGATGCCGACTGTAAATGCTTACTAACTGAGTCAAGCTCCAGGTCATCATGGAGTTCCACATTCCTTAGGAACCATGGTGCTCCGATGGCTATCCTGCAAAAACGGGATTGAATGATTTGAAGGGGTTTCAGGTTGGTGCGGGCCGCGTGAGCAAACACTACACCTGCATTGTTTTTTGGTGTCAGATCGCCTATTTATAAATGTAGTTTGAAAATAACATGTTTAATTATGGCTGACTTTAGACCACGACGACTTCGTGGCCTAAAGCATAAGATGTCCGGTGCATTCGTGTTGAGCGATCAGGTGTTCGAATCCCGCAGGTGGGTACTAATTTCTCGATTCCAATGTTCACGATTGACTACCACGCTGAAGGAATAACATCGTGTAATAAAAATCGAACCCGCAAAATTATAATTTGCGTAATTACTGGTGGTAGGACCTCTTGTGAGTCCGCACGGGAAAGTACCAACCTGCCTATTTCTGCCGTGAAGTAGTAATACGTTTCGGTTTGAAGGGTGGGGCAATCGTTGTAACTATACTGAGACCTTAGAACTTATATCTCAAGATGGGTGGCGCATTTACGTTGTAGATGTCTATGGGCTTGAGTAACCACTTGACACCAGGTGGGCTCAGGAGTCTCATAAGACATAAGACTCATATAACTAAAGAGCGTTTAGATTTTTCGGCGAAAGCCAAAAATAGGCAACGAACTTTAGCTGACAAAAGTATTGTTAGGTTACGCTGACATAGCCTCTCAAGGTTATCAGCTTAGGTAGGACAAAAAAACGCAATAATTTTACCCGACAACAACACGAAAACAATCTAGATAATTCTGTTTGATTTTGACTTCGTAATTATATTAAACAAAACGAGTCGAGTTCAATCTAATTACAGAATCGAACGAATACAAAATAAATTTAAATTCTAATTGGATTTAAATAATTTATTCACGAATAATACAATACAGTAAATTAAAGTAAATAACTTATTACCTAAACTTATATTTTGGTGCATTATGTCGCAACTTATCGACTCGACTTATCTTAATGGTTTGATCTAGCATGCTGCTACGCGCTGGGGTTCGGGATAAATAAATGTTCCACCAAAGTACAACTTAGAACTGTATTTATCGCTTAGAACACACAGAGCACTTTAAAATTCTCAATTCGTTTCTTCCGCTTCGCTTCAGGTGATCCGTACGCTGTTTCGCTTCGAGTAGTTCCGATTACTAACTGACTGCGTGCCGTCTCTGCAACGCTTTTGTAGTCGATACCACATCCCTAGAATTATCGAGAATATTCCACAAAAGTCGAGTATTGTGTTTCCGCTATCTGACAATAGATGGCGTTGTACTTCTCGGGCGTTCTAGATGTTACTAGATCCTTCGATATTCGTTCGGCTATTCGGCGATAGATGACGTTACTCTTGCCGGTGTAACAGTACATAAACATTTTGCATACATAGCGAAATGTTTCGACGTAATTTTCTCAAAATTCAAAACCGCCTAATTAACTTGAAAATACGCACACGTATCAAAAACTGATGACAGTAAAATATTTTTGTTACTTCAGCTTATTGTTATAACCGGGAACACAGCACTGCTAAAATAATCAAATAAAGTTTTTTTTTTTATTGCTTAGGTGGACGAGATCACAGCCTACCTGGTGTTAATACTGTTAATTGATTATTGGAGCCCATAGACAGCGTAAATGCGCCACCCATGGTGAGATGTAAGTTCTAAGGTCTCAGTACTATAGTTACAACGGCTGCCCCGCCCTTTAAACCGAAACGCATTACTGCTTCACGGCAGAAATAGGCGGGGTGGTGGTACTTACCCGTACGGACTCACAAGAGGTCCTACCACCAGTAATTATTTAATTATGTTGATGTATTGATTGTATGTAAATGTTAGTTGATGTATATATTATGATTTTTTTATTACAGAATGTTATTCCTGCATCGTGGAAGTCAATGTGAACATTTGTTAAGCACGCATTTCATTAGAAAAATCGGTACCCGCCGGCGGGATTCGAACACCGTTGCATCGCTAGATACGAATGCACCGGACGTCTTATCCTTTAGGCCACGACGACTTCAAAGCGTCTTCTAGCGTCTACCTAAGCTGAGAGCCTTGAGTGGCTATTTCAGCGTAACCTTAACTAGTAGGTGAGCTCACGGGGCTCAAACCTGACGACGTTGCTAACACCAACCCTAGCAAAAGCCGTGCTTCGCAGAATCTACCACCGGGTCGGAAACGCGACCCACTGAGAAGATCCGGCGAGAAACTCAGTGGGCTGTGTCTGAGGGTTAATTTACTCGTCGAGCCCTTCGTCGCAAGCTGGTTGATGTCTATGGACTACGATAACAGCAATGACTGTCTGTGCAGTCGTATCTTTCGACACAATAATGTCCGATAAAAAAAAACTACAAAAGTATCGCCTACGGACTCCGAAAAACATTTAACACTGGGCGCTATGATCATCTCCTTATACAGGGTGACTTGTGATTCGACGTATTCCTCTTGGGATGTGATAATACATCTAATTTCCAACAAAGTTAATTAATGTCCCTAATACTGAAGTGTCTCGTTATCAAGATATTCAATATTTTTCGTTTTGTTTAAAAAAATCCCGAATTAACTGCAAAAAAAAACATCAAATAAAATGCTAGTGTTTTGAATGAAGTTGTTTGAATTTTCATCAGTTACCAATACATCAACTAACATTTATTAATACAAATACTGGCACGAATGCCAAACATTTTAAAATAGCAAGTGATTTCTTATAAAATTGTTTTGGTTCTCTAATTTGGTCGATAGAAACTGGATTTATTTTGTGCGTACAAAATACTAGAAAAACTTCCTTATTTTATTAGCTACTTAAAAACATTAAATTATTAACAAAAAAAGGAAAGATTCTCAGAAAAAAATGAATAACATGATGATAGGTAAAGTGTACAGAGTAAATGGAAATTAAAAAATATCTTTTATTAATCAATTTTGCGACATATTTTACAAATCTTGTTCAAAGTGACCTCCCCTACGGTAAATACATGCCCGCACACGCTTCCTTATCTCTGCCACTGTCACTCTTGAAGTGAAAGACCGTCGTATTTCTTCAGGCGCTTCGATTATTTTTACTCGCAGGATTTCGACAGACGGAATTGGCAAATATTATGGACGGATGAGAGCAAATTTGACCAGGATGGTATTACCAACTATCATAACATCCATTACTGGTCAGAAAAAAGATTACGAAATCCAAGAAAAATCAAACCAACGTCATATTCAAACATATACGTATATTCAAAGTCAACAGGTTAATAAAGACTTGAATTGTTTTTATTGCTAATATTTATTGCTAATTGTTTTTTAGCACCAGGTGGGCTGTGAACTCGTCCACCCAACTAACAAATAAAATAAAAAGATGTGTGGTGTCGTGGGACACCGGATAGAAACGAAGTTCCTTATTACAAAAATATTAATTTTAAGTTTTATTCGAGGTATAAAGAAAATAATTATTCGGGTACACATTATTATTATGATTTTTTTATTGATAAAAATAAAATCAAAAACTACTTTACAAAGTTATCGACTTTATTTTATTCACAATGATTTATAAAAAATATATAATAAATAAAAAAATATGTTATTGTTCGTTATTACAAAGCTAAGTCGTACACTGTGTGCATTACTAATAAGAATCTTACGTTACGGACGTTTTTTCCCGGTTAGGGTACCCCTCCGCAACGTCCGATATGGAACATCGTTCGAAAAAAAAATCGCAGGTGAAGGCTTGCTAACAGCTGCCCGAGCGCCCTCAGAGGAGGCTCAACAGCCCAAGGACAGCATCTTCGCGAGCGCACCTAAGGCCGACACGCGAACGTAATGTGGATCGATCGGCGACACATTTAATGTGCAGTATCTATTGAAAATCTACACACAGCATATTTACGAATAAACATAATATGTCATCGAATATTAACAAAACAAAAAACCACGCAAATGCTACGACGTGACGTCAACAGCTCCATGAGATGCTGAGGTCGTATTATTTTTTCTCGAAGTGACCACAGTATATGTAAGACTGCAGTGATGCAAGTGGGTGTTATTTTGCATTGACTGCTTCTGCGGACGGGCAGGTGGATAGAATTGATACTTCTTGTTCTTCCTTGTCGTTTCATGACCAAAGAGGGTCGGGACCGTTTATGATTGGTATCCATTTGCTTCTGTCCCAAGTCAGTTCAATAGATCTTAGTGCAGTTTCTCGTGTTGTTTCTACAATACTTTTATACCGTCCTACATCTGTCCTAAGATCGACTGCTTCTCCAACTTGTGCATATTTGATTGCATTATATTTATAAAGCAAATGAGCTTTAGAGCGAAGCATGTTAAACATAAAGAAAATGGACAAAATAAGACACACAAAGACAAGACATATCACTAAAGTTTAAAACGCTTTGACTTTTGCTCTAAAACTTAAATGGCATTGGGCTGGACATGTGGCGAGATTGTCTGACAGAAAGTGGACCACACGAGTGTTATGGACCACTAGGCAAGAGAGGGAAAGCCTGCTGGGAAGACGATCTGAAAAGGTCAGCCGACATAAACTGGCACTTCATAGCCCAAGACAGACAAAAATAAGCATCTTTGGAGGAGGTTTTTACCCAAACCGGGATTTCTTGTTAATTTATAATTATTTTAATACACCTACTTATATTACTAACATAATTTAAGCTACAACTACTAACAAAAGTCATATTTGTTGTTTAGTGTAATCCACCTAAAGGGGAATGCCCACTCTCCATAGTGTGCTAGGCCCAAGATGGACATCAAATATTACTATAAAAATGTACTGATTCAAATTCTTAAATGTATTGGATATCTAAAAAATATATTGAAATTGACGCCACTATTATAAAAAATATAATAAAAATAAAAACTCGTTTTGAGGTTAATTTTCTACATAAATAAGTGTCGGATTGTGAGATACTTCAAGAACTTTTCTTTTCTTAATGTTTAAGATGTTCCTAATGTATTTTTATCCAATAGGGTATAAAAAACACACTTAATTCTTTAAATATCTATATTTTCTTCATCTTCATACACAATTAGTATCATCTAAAAATAGCAAAGGAGACCATAAACACGGTTTTAAATCTCGGTCAGGGTAAAACCACAATTCACACAATGTTTTTAGTCGTAGTATGAAACGTTATTGATAAAAGTAAAATAAATCGAAGAAAAACCAAAACACATCCATTTTGTACGCAAGCACAACACCACAAGCAGCAAGCGAAGTGTCAGTCAGTCAGATTAAATTCAGTGTTGTCAGTATAAAGAAAAATAATTACATGAAATTCATATATCGATTATTTTTTTAAATAACCTTAATTTTTTTAAAAATAATATAATTTTTTTAATTGATTTATATATTAATTTTTTTTTACGAGTACACATTATTTTTTATGTTTTTGTTTTAGTTGTACATATTTAAATAACAATACTAGTAAAGTTTTTTTTATTGCTTAGATGGGTGGACGAGCTCACAGCCACACTGGTGTTGCTAAGTGGTTACTCGAGCCCACATACATCTACAACGTAAATGCGCCACCCACCTTGAGATATAAGTTCTAAGGTCTCAAGTATAGTTACTATACTATAGTATACTCAAAATATTTACTTCATACGTAAAAGGATTTGAAGCTGGCAATTTTTTTCCCGCTAAAATAAAAATCCTTGTTTTTTCAATAGAGTTACTTTTTTTAAACTACTTATTGTAAACTGTAGTGGCGCTTATTTGCAAGAAAGTAAATGCATATTTATTAATGACAAAATTAATGCACTAAGTATTTTTTCTATAATCTATTGTCCGCTTTGGGCCTAAAATGGGCTTTCCCCTTTATGTTTTAATGCACCTACCATTATTTCTTCTGCAGTACTTTTGTTTGGCTGGTAGAGAATGTGTCTAATAGATAAAGTAGCACCTTTCTAATACCAGGGTCCGCTTTTCTACTTAAACTCCTCCACTTTACGGACAAATAAAAACCGAAGAAAATTCCTTGTGTTAACAACACTCCCGGTTTGAGCCCCGTGAGCTCATCTACTCGCCCGGTTACGCTGACATAGCCTCTCAAGGCTATCAGCTTAGGTAGGATAATAACAAAAAAAGCAATTGTATGTATGTATTGTCACTACATAACCTTAATAACATATTTTTAAGAAATCACTTTAACTAACATTAATATAGATTAATTCATGATTGTAAAAGATTTGATCTACTGTTATTAAATAAACTGTGCCTTGTATTAAGGTAATATCACATTTGAGCAAAATTTTAAGTTTTTCCGGACTACCTAGATCGGTCATGTCAACTTTGCTCCGTCCGTAATAATATTAAAACAGAGATGTTCAATCTTTGATTGATGTATTATAAAAGTTTTACTTCGTATTTTTTTTGTATTTAATTGTGCAAGTTACTTTGTTGATTTTTTTATTGCTTAGTTCGGTGGATGAGGTTACGGCCCGGTTATTGTTAAGTTGAGTCCATGGACAACAACAAAGTGAACGCGACCACCCATCTGGAGCATAAATTATAAGTGTAACCTCATACGGGGTATCCGTGCTTAGGGGGCGCGCAGGGGATTTGGGATTTGACGGTCTATAGATATTGGGAGCAGACCGCGGGCCAAGCATGTTTTAGGGCTCTATTCACCAAACGACTCCTGTAGCGGCCTCTCACCTGACGTCCGACCACCCGGAGTCAGAACCACCTACCTTGAACTTATATCTCAAGGTAGGTGGCGCATTTACATTGTAAATGTCTATGGGCTCCAGTAACCACTTAACACCAGGTGGGCTGTGAGATAGTCCACCCATCTAAGCAATAAAAAAAAACAAAGATCCGGCGAGAAACTCAGTAGGCTGTGTCTGTCAATTTACTCGTCGAGTCCTTCGTCGCAAGCGACGGGTTCGACAAGAACGATGATCGGGTCTTGACAGAGGAGTCGGCGCAACGGCTTATGAAGAACTAATTCCCCACCCGACGATACCGCAATCATGCTGCCATCTCTCAGGAATCGTGCTGCGTTTCGTTTAGCTACCAAACTAATGACCGTCTCCGACAAATATATAAATATCAAATAAACAGTAACAAAAGTTGTTCTACTCTGCATATGTGGATTGTACACACTTGATTCGGAGCTATACTCGTTGCCAGCAACGCACCAGTATACGCAGGTCTGAAGCGGGCTCAAGACGTGTGACGAATTACGCAGTTAAAATTAATTAAATAAGAACTTTATATTTGTTCAAGTGCAAACACGCGCGGTTTTAGGGTGAGTGAATTTTCTTTTTTTTTATTATCTAATTTTAATTGCTCATTAAAAATTTATACAAGCGCTTTCACGACGCGATGCTCGTGTTTATTAAAAATTATAATTAATTATAAATTACTGTTCGCAAACGATTTGAATGTTTACGCTTTTCGGCTTAAGAGCGAATTAAATGAGCATGCGTTTTCGGATTCTGTTTCCTTCGAGATTTCATTAGGAATGCGGAAATCCTTGGCTGCTCTTAAGTCGTACCTAGATCTAGAATCGCGAATAAGGACGACACGTTTATTTGTCTGAAGTTTCATCAATTACTAGTTCACATTTGATGTTGACGACTCGACAATTTCGTCAGACTGGTTCTCTCAGCCGAAGCTCGTGGTTAGAGACGTCACGTTGCTGTGGTCAATTGGCACTTAGTAAGACTGCTTATGACCTTTTAGAGCTACCGAAAACTGAGGTAGCTGGAGGCGTGTTATTGAAAACAAAACGAAAAGTCATGTGGAAAGAAAGAAATAGAAAGAAACCGACCAAAAAAGAGAGTTGTCGATATGAAATTTTGAATACACAGAGCCATTAGGGATTGGGTATTGAAGAGGTATTTGTCCAGTTGTAGTTCGGCTCAACCCTTGGGATATGCTGGGGTAAAATCAACGTGATCCGGAGACCATGGCCTTTCGACTTTAGGTTGGTCTGTAGAACAATAATGACGCATAGCAGAACTTTATTTAGCCCTTATTCTCTTGGCTCCCTTCGCGACTTATAAACCATTTCTTCAGACATCTATTCATGTCCATTGAGTGTATGGAGGTAGACCCGACACTAGTAACCAGCAGTTGTACTGGTGGTGGGACCTCTTGTACTGGTGGTTGGACCTATTTTACTGGTGAGAGCACCTCTTTTACTGGTGATAGGGACCTCTTGTGAATCCCCACGGGTAGGTACCACCACCCCGCTTATTTTTGCCGTGAAGCAGTAATGCGTTTCGGCTTGAAGGGGGAGGTAGCCGTTGTAACTCTACTGAGACCTTAGAACTTATATCTCAAGGTGGGTGGCGCATTTGCGTTGTAAATGTCTATAGGCTCCAGTAACCACTTAACACCAGGTGGGCTGTGAGCTCGTCCGACCATCTAAGCAATAATAAATAAAAAAAGTTAGCACCTCCATCTCCACAATGCATAGTCTGCTAAGCTTCTCGCCGGATCCTCTCAGTGGGTCGCGATTCCGTTCCGGTAGTAAATGCTCTCGAGTTGTCAGGTCTCCTTAGGAGGCGCTTGGGCGGCTGTTTGCAGATGCGGCCCCTCCCGGTTAAGCCCGGGCTCACCCACACGGCAACTCTGCACAGGATCATCGACAAGTTGGCATTAAGCTCGACACTGTCCCACAAAAGTGTTCTAGAAAAGTTTGATTAGGAATTTTCTATTCGTCTTCTCATTAAAACTGTATATTCTCAAAACTTAATAATTTTACAGGAGAGTGTTTTAAAGGTTTAACATGTGATATTTTTAATCTTTGCAAAATTTTTTTTTTTTTACGAGTTACATTCTGTTTTTAAAGTAACTTAAAATTATACATTAATTTTGTTAATAGTAGTCAAAACATAGGTAAACTAAAAAAAAAAACTAAAACTAAACTACGTTCTTTTGATAGAATTTAAAAAAAATACTGATAATACCAAATGATTCCGCATATTAACTCAATTTCGAATATTGTTGGAAATTGTACACTTTTGATGCGAAAAGACGTATTGTTATTGTACAATAAATGTTATCTTTATTGGATGCAATAAATCGTTAGCAGACTTTTTACGAGCGCTAAACCTGAAGATTGGGTGTTTAATTTGGATGCTGTGTTCGGTGATGTTGAGATAAATTTCGTATTTAATCCGCATCGAATCCCAAATTTATCTTGCCGTTATTGGAATTCCGGCCGGGAGGTAGCGACAGGCGTACCTTGGACCTCACTTCTCGAGGTGGATTAGTGCGTTCTGATGTCCGTGGACTCATAGGGCGTTTATTCGTTCATCTACGCAAAAAAGTTACGCCTGGGCGTGAAGCCGGAATTGAATCTCGGTCTGCGCGTACAAGATCTCGTCTCCCAGTGTCATGTGCGCTCATGGTGTCAACGAAACAGATAACCTGTGTGCTTAGTGTGAGTTTTTTAACGTTCTCGATAACGTAAAAGTTAATTAAAATTTGTATGGAGTTAAAACGTTTGCCTAAGTTTGCCGCTAGGGGCGCTGTTTTTTTATTCAGTTTAGACTATTTAACCCCTAATATTGTTTGTCTTTAATATTACTTGTAACCATAATAATGTTCAAACTAATAATTTTAATAAATATACATATGTATGAGACAACTCTAACAATGAACCTAAAACTAAAAACCTTAAAAAAATAAAAAATAAAATTTAATAACTAAAATATGTTATTAAAAGGGGTCCCTTTAGGCGAGGTTCCGAAGATACTGGCAGCGTTCTCCCTTTCAATAGCTAGACTAATTCTTTGTCCGAGGTAGCTGCCAGCTCTTTGGTCTCCTGTGATGTCGACTAACCTTTTTGCTATTTCCTTAAAAAGCCTTATATCACTAGGACCCCTCGGACCAAGGATCTCGACACCGAATGAGACAAAATCATATTCGGAGCCTAGACCCCTGTATTTGCAAGCTTTTCATTATTTAATAATTTTAATTAATTATGGTCAAATTTCTACTACTGGGCGACCGCTGGTTTTGTTAATTTCTTGTCTCTTCGGGTTGTTACTTGTTTTAATAATGGCGATACGTTAAATACCCGAGCAAGAACTCGTGTGCAATATAGAATAAAACCCGTCGGACCGTGGCCCCTCGGGTTTTACCAAAAAAGTCCATTGAACCCCCAGTAAACTCCCATCAATTTACGAGATAGGTACTGTCTTACATATTACATTTAGGTAATTTAATTTTTTCTCGTTCATACCATAAATAGCGACATTCCTGTTTCTTCTTTTACTTCTGTTCTGTTTAATTCTGTTATTCACGTTTCACTATATACCTAGGCTGCACTAAAAGTATCGGGAATGGAATATTTCCACTGTTCCTGTCATATTAAAATCTTTTTAATTGAAAATTGAGAAGTTAGTAGATAAATACAAATCTGTTTTTGCTAAGGACAAATATGATGTTGGCTCTGTGCAGGATTATGAAGCCCATATAGATTTGATGGTAGATAAATACTGCTACGAGTAGTAAAAGTCTACACTGAAATTTAGATTTTCAAATAACAAATGATAAACATTTTTTTTTATTGCTTAGATGGGTGGTCGAGCTCACAGCCCACCTGGTGTTAAATGGTTACTGGAGCCCATAGACGTCTACAACGTAAATGCACCACCCACCTTGAGATATAAGTTCTAAGGTCTCAACTATAGTTACAACGGCTGCCCCGCCCTTCAAACCGAAACGCGTTACTGCTTCACGGCAGAAATAGGCAGGGTGGTGATACCTACCCGTGCGGACCCACAAGACGTCCTACCACCAGTAATAACATTCGCATACACGAATACGTACACAATTTTACTGAAATTTAGACGCAAGTTAAAATTAAAATTGTTCACCTAATCAAATAACGTTCCGTGATGTTTTTTTGAACAATTTTTATTCAGTAACTTATTTAATTTAGTAAAATTAAAATTCAAAGCGTTGGAATTAATATGATTTACTTAACAATAAAGAATGCGAGGTTGAATCTTAATAAAAAAACAGTTTTATTTAAATCTGCATTTAAATTAAATTTCCTTTTGCGTTGCTCGCTCGATTATCGATGATAGAAGCCGTAAATAATTCTCGAAGGCTCTGAAATAATATCATCTATAAATTAATACGTGAAGCAAAAACTTTGTACCCCTTTTTACGAAAATTGCGCGGACGGAGGAGCATGAAATTTCCCACACTTATAGAGAATATAGAGAAGGAGTGCAGAAAGTTAATATTTTTTTAATTATGCATAAAAAATACAATAAATCAAGAAATAAAAACATTACACACACTATCATGTATTTGACACACACGCACGCATGCATACTATTTGTTTATTGTCAAACTTTTCTTATTACTTATAGTCTGTGGTCAAATTGAGAATAGAGTAATATTGTTTGTCTTTATTAATATTTGTCTAAAGTGTAGACTTGGCGAAATCTGTGATTATAAAAGTATAATAAATAGTATTTGACAATAGAATCATAATAGTGTACAAACATTTAATTTCAATTAATTATAGTCGAAATTCGACTACTGCGGGACCACTGGTTACAATAAAAATGCGAGTTTAAGTAACTCCAGTTTTAGTTATGTCCGGCGACTGAGTTTCTCGCCGGATCTTCTCAGCGGGTCGCGATTCCGATCCGGTGCTAGATTCAGCGAAGCTTGCTAGGGCTAGTAAATTGAAAATTCTCTCAGGTTGAGCCCGTGAGCTCACCTACCCGCGCGTAGCTGTAATAGCCCCTTAGGCTACCAGCGCAGAGGTAGGGAAAAGGAAAAGCTATGTCCACGCTCTTGAAAACCACAAGAATCCTAATCTTCATTTGAGTCGACTATTATCAAAGGCGGCAATCTGACTTTTGGACAATGATTGGTAAATCAGAAAAACGAATTATTGACTTTGTATTCCATCGGCAGTCACAAAACTCTTCGGAACGACATCTTAGATAAATAACAGGTTAACTATTAACCTTTATTTAATGCAGGTTTTGAACCGTATTCTTTGAAGGAGACGATTATATTCAACTCAATCTGTATTGACATATCAATAAATTTTTTTTGTCCAAATGCACAGATTGCCACCTTTGATAATAGACGACTCATTTATAACCAATTATATCAAGTAACTTATTGGGAATTTGTGGCCTCATATTGCTCATCTTGTTATAAAACAAACAAACAAAAAAAAAACACTACTGTCGTAATTATGGATGTGCTTATAAATATGTTTTTTGTTGCATTGACGTCAAAATTATGTATTTAGATCTTGAA